GCGTTGGAGTTGTAATTACCGTGGTAACAATATCTACTTAGTGAGTTCGATGCTATGCGTTGCAGTTGCAAATGCGTTTGGCCAGCCGTTAGTTAGTTAGTTATTGGAGAGGGTGGGTTTCCCCATGCACTTAGACCAATATTGGTCCATTGTGCTTCCCTCTATAATATTCTACCAGTCTCTATACCCTACCGACATTGGTGCGTACCATCAGTCCCGACCGAGCCAGCGAGTTCGGCCTCTACAGGCTTGGCGGTATCTATAATGCTTCCCCAAATCTATCAGAGGCGTTAGAGACTACTGTTGGGCGGGAAACGTCCTTGAATTTGGCTCCGTGACCTCCTTTGGAGATATGAGGTTCTTTTACGTGTCGTAAAGCTACGACACCGGACCCACGACTTAAAGTCCCTCCCGGAGGACTTGTTCCCTGAATTTTTCCGCCCTTAAAAATTCCACGACCTCCTCCGGGTTTGAACCCGCGTACCTTGAGTCACGAAGTGGGAACGTTACCTCTAGACTACGGAGGCCGCTTTGGCCAGCCGTTACTTAGTAATGGGTGTCTACACTGTGGGAACAATATTTAGTCATCTGCTGGCTGGTAATGGTTCAATAAATCCAATCGTCCAATCCGAAACCCGCCTTATAAGTAATCCCTACGCGTGAAAATATTAAAATTTATCTTGAAGAAATAGGTCCAGAAGCGGCATGTTGTGAACACGATAATGAATTTTAGGTTCCCATAAAATTCATAGAACTCACAACCAGTGAGTAATTATCAGATACTTAACAGACGCTGTGCCGGATGTGGATAGTATCAACCCTCAAATACACGGCATTCTAGCAATAACGCCTTATAGCATGGTGACTTCTCCGGCACTCGTGGAATGCGTTTAATCTAAGCACACACTACCGCTTCGAAACCGTATGAGCCACAAGCGCGTTAATGGCTTGTTACACCCGCTCCGGGGGTGCATTTTGATGAAGTTAGCTTTCAGGTATGAGCCTAGGGTTTAGGAATAAAATTTGTCTCTGCTATGGTGCTTACCAACTGAATTCTCCTGTCTTTTCCTTGTTTCACCCTCCGTAGTAAGGGATTTACGGGAAGTGGGAACTTCGGGTGAGCGATTGTATGTTGAAAAAAACATCGAGCCTATCGACGAAGTTTCTCATGTATGTTCTACACTGTAGGTAACATAGAAACGTTAAGCCTTACAGCACGGTGGCTACCGCAAGCGCCACCTGCTTAAACAGCCGAAAACTCTGCATTTCGACCAAAAAAGAATATTTATGTGTTTGTTTATTAGGATAAACAGCGATTACTTCACAGAATTACTGGATTTTTGGACTTTTTTCCATCATCCGTAATTCCAGAGAATAGAAAACACGACGTTTCGGAAACTTGATCTGTTTCCGTCCCTAGGTGAAGAGTGGAGAAGACACATACTCAGTTGGATTCCTTAGAAAGAACTAATCTCAATCGATGGACCAGTTTCCGAAACGTAGTGTTTTCTGTTGTCTAGAATACCGGACGATGCAAGACTGCGCTTGCAAGAACCAGCCCCCTCTCGTCAGAGAGGGGGCCCCACAAAAACAAGACCGTAACTGTCAAACAATAAAAGAAATCTGGTCAAAAACATCCGAGATGGGGCTCACACCAAGACTTACTGACTGACTAGTCGTCAGTCGCAATGTGACTTTGACTTTGGCTTTGAACAGAATAGATCCCGTGTGGAGGTGGGGTCGAAAGCCTCCACCGTAATCCTGCGAGTCGTAAGAGGCGACGAAAATGGAAGTCTCGAATCTCAGACCGTAACATTTAGTCGCAAGTCCCACGGGACTTGGACCCGAGAATGACTGCCCTGGCGAGGTCCAGCAGCAATTGTAAAGGATAGACCAGTCCTCTCGTCAGAGAGAGAGCTACCCACATCAACAAAATCCCAACTGTCTGACAGTAATAAAGATCTGGTCTTAAGCCCCAGAGGAGTACCTTATTCTAAGAGAGACTGACCGACTAATCGTCGATCGTAATATAAGGCTCAGACTCAGAACAGAATAGAGCAGATGAGAACAGAGCAGAGAACAGAACAGAGGCGAATGTATAGGAGCTGAGAGCAGAAGAAAGCAGCTCAGCTAAGAACCAGAAGACGACAGACTAGTCAGGTTGCATCACACGGAAGAAGTATTTTAGAGTGATTGTAATTGCAATTGTAAACAACTTATCCAATTAACAGCTTCGTCTAATCGGAAACCAGTTAATTTCTTGTCGCATTACCAGGATAAGCAACAATACTATAAAAGGCTCCCTGTCCCAGTTCTTTCTAATTCAGACTTCATAATCATCCATAGAATCCCTTCACTTTATACGACACCGTTAAATAACAACGCAGCGCGCCACAAACACCGACTGGACGACATCAAAGAACCCTCTTCTCGAGAAAGACAAGGCGGCACACGTTCGGTCCCCCTCAAGAGAAGTAATAAGAAGAGGACACGAACCCACTTGGTTTATAAATTCCAATAAAACCTTAACAAATCAATCACAAATATTTTAATGTACTGGAACAGCCGCTGTAGTTGTGAAAACTTTAGATTTTATACCCAATTGTATATTAGTAACATTATATGTATATATTTTAATGTTCAGAATATATATTGTAATAGTAAGTTCCAGCGGGAGCGGCCTCCGTAGTCTAGAGGTAATGTTCCCACCTCGTGACTCGTGGTACGCGGGTTCAAACCCGGCGGAGGTCGTGGAATTTTTAAGGGCGAAAAATTTCAGGGAACAAGTCCTCCGGGAGGGACTTTAAGCAGTGGATCCCGTGTCGTAGCTTTACGGCACGTAAAAGAACCTCATATCTCCAAAGGAGGTCACTGAGCTAAATTCAAGGACATTTCCCGCCCAACAGTAGTCTCTAACGCCTCTGATAGATGGGGGAAGCATTATAGATACCGCCAAGCCAGTAGAGGCCGAACTCGCTGGCTCGGTCGGGACTGATGGTATGCACCAATATCGGTAGGGTATAGAGACTGGTAGAATATCATAGAGGGAAGAACAATGGACCATTACTGGTCTCAGTGCATGGGGAAACCCACCCTCTCCAATAACTAACTAACTAAGTTCCAGCTGTATTGATGAAAGGTGTCCCTCTCATGATGGTCTCTGTAGACCGAAACAAGTAAAGGCATAAATAATTGAAATAAGAAAAATCTTCACCAGTCACACTAGACGGAATTGTTTAACTTTTCATGAAGAGATAATACATTAGTTCTACGAGTAAATGATATAATGATATAAACTCCGTCCCAAGTGCAAACAATATATTTGTGTCCTTGATTTTGCTCCTTTACACTATATGTTTCGGCCTCAGACGGCCATCATCAGGTGTATAACACTCACGTTACTGTCACGCTGCACCCAGCCCAAAATTTAACATTTAAAAACACTTTCCTTTTTATTATCAACATCTACTTCGTTGATATCTGTCTGGTTTGTAGACTATTTTACACATGTTAATTTTGACTTTCCTGTAGTAGCACTATAAAATCTTTAGTTCTAATTTTAAAATTCTTTAAAATTTTTCTCTAAATTTTAAAATTTAAAATTGTTAGGGTTACTCGCCCTATGTCTAAAGTGCTGCAGCAGCTAGTTATTGTTTCCACACTGTACAGGTGTTATTCTGTGTACTCGTAGTCTTCCTGTGTGCGTGCCGCTGCTATTCTTTACTACGTGTGCATCACGTGACAACTCTGAGAAGAACTCCATGTTCTGCAGGCTACGGAACAAATATCTATCGCTTTTTTTTTTTAATCCAAGAACCTTTGAGTGCCTATGCAGAACCACAGTTATGACTCTCTCATCGCAGTTAAAGAGCCTGGAGGGAGAATGGTTAATCTTTTTCCTATAGCTGGTTCAAAGAAACTGCAGAACTGGCTTACCGTTTCTGGAGCACAACCTCTAGGTCCACCATAGGATAGACCCTTCGTGAGTTCTGGCTGGAGACTGGAGATCCCGCTAAGGAAAACATTTGAATCATTCTTTCTTTCAATCTTCTCATCGGCTTTATAAAACAGGTTTTGTATGTTATTTCCGTGTGCCAGCAAGTAAGCTAGACGTCTAACAACAATCATTTCGAAGCCAAAGAAACATTTTTCAATATTAAGACAGTGCTCCACTAGGTCTTCTTCAAAACTAGGGGGCAGAACACGTTTCCTACCAAGTTTTGTTTCAATCCTAGTAGCAGAATTGCTCTCGAACTTAATGCATAATTCTAGCGTTAATTGTGGCACTCTGAGAACGCGGGACGCCTTGAAACTCCCCCATTTCCTTTTTCCTTCTAGGCAATTAAATATCTCCAAAATTAGCATCTAATTGGGAAGCTGAAAGAAGTTGTTCCTAACACAGGGAATCCCATATTGGGAGCCTATGAATTACCCACAGCCACTACAACCATCCAACTATAAGCTTTAAAATAACATTCTAACTCTACCATCTCCATTTGAAAGAGAAAACAAATAATTCACCTTTTTCATAGTTTCGCGAAACTACATAGTTTAAGAGTTACAAATGTTCCGGAGCTAACGAAAATAAAACGAGTCACTCACGCAACGGATTTGGCGACAAGATCAATTATATTGCCAATCCAATAAATGATCTTGAAATTCATAATATTTTCAGCTGGCAACAGCACGTCTTCCAAAATGGTGCTTCCCCATGTACACGTGGAAGACCTCATATTAGGCGACTTTCCCCTAACATTAGAACTGTGATATGTTATCGGAAAATAAATAACATGATGCAGAAGAGTAAATTAGTATTTATGGCGAATAATGAGACAATATTTATACTGTGTATATGAAGATACGAAGAACTATTTTGGAGAAATGTGTAATTTTAGTAAGGTACAGGTACAGGATTTGCTGTCCTTCTTGGTGTCCTTGAGATTACGTTTGTGCTGTAGTTTTTAAATGCAGTCGACAGATGGCAGAAGTATATGGTTTGGTTTAGTTGATATTGCCATCTCTAGGAGCGTCTAGGAGGTGGCTGTAATCGCTTTTAACTTTAGGGTTAAGTGAACACGTGTTCATAATTGTGAAGTTTAGAAATTGGGACTCTTTTGTTTATCTCGTACGTATCTTCGGTACTTTTATAATTGTCTAATATTGCAGTTACACATTTTAGACTGAATTGTAAAAAGAAATGTGTCCAGTCTCTTTGGGTTAGGTTAGGGTTGGCCTGTGCCTGTAATTTGTTACAGCGAAATTTGGGAACGTTGTCGCTTTCACATTACGTCATAACAGTTTCTTAAATTTAATATGTCAGTACAGGCGGGCCTGAATACGATTTTCAAGATTCCTGCAGAGTCTTATTAGTATTATTTACCGCCTCTGTCGTTTAGTGGTCAGAGTTCCTCCCTACAGATCCAGAGGTCCCGGGTTCGATTGCCGGCGCTACCAGATTTTGTGAGAAGTAGTGGGTCTGGAACGGGGTCCATTCAGCCTCGTGAGGTTTAGAAAACCGAGAATAACGGCCGCGGGGATCCGTTGCGCTGACCACGCGACACCTCTATGCGCAGAAGTTGGCACTAACTTCGCCGACAAGCGACGGTCGCTCGGTCGGTATAGTTCGCTTGCGGACTACAGGACATGGAGTTTTTTCATGTTATTGTTTATTATTTATATTGTAGCTTGAATTAAATATTTATTATTAGTATGCAGGTTATAACAACATTAATGCCCCATAGGTTGTGTGAAACTTAGAAAAGAAGAATTTGACGTGATGGTCCCAGGTATACCATAGATGTGTTGTCATGTACTTGACAAGCCTTCCCACTTTTGACATGCCAGTCACTTTCATAGATATGAAGCAGAGCACAAGCGTGCCCTATGTGGTAGACAATATTCAGAAAACAAGCAAAAATAAAACTCATTAAGTCCATTATTTCATTTCATTGTTATATTTATGGTGTGGCTCAGAATACATTGATATAGGACATGTCCATCTGTATTGTTATCAGAAATGTAGTCTATTCTATAATCTACTTATTAGTAGACAATATTACAGAATTCTTCATTGAGATAATCTTCTGTTGTATTGTAGCATGCCTAGTTTTGAATTTACGTTTTTCAGTTTTGCCTATCTACTGAAGAGGTGTCAGAAGATTTTCATATAAGATGGTACTTGAACTTTCAAAACGAGCTCAACAGATGCTTAATAAAAGAGACTTCTTAGATGAATACACCATGCTGTGCATGCATGACCCATTTAATCAAGATACTAATAAGAAGGTAAGTGCCAAACAAAAAGTCTGAGTGTGCTGTAAATGTTCGCAAAAACCATTCCTAATGAAAGGCGATTAATTATAAAAAAACAGGTTGTAAAGGGATAAAAATTAGTAACTACTTACATTTTATAAAATGTTTTTAGAAAGGCTACTGTCTTCTGGAATGTGACACCATATAGTCTGCTAGAGAAACATTTTGGAGGAACCTGCAACCTCAATCTTCTTCCCTGAAGATAGAGGCAGTAGATTCCTCTGGAACTGTAACTATATACCAGACTTCATGGCATCACATCGCAGAAGACAGTAGCCTTCATATTCCTCACTGTGGACTAGAAGTCACATGTGCCCTGAAGGTTACTGTATAGGTCTATAGTAGCTGAATCTTATGTAATTACTACACTACTTGTCAGCCAGTGATCTGTAGAATGCAGCAAGTTTGTTGCTGTGTTTATGCGTCACTTAATTATTGTAATCATATTCTACTGCTCTTGGAAACATTGCCATTTTGTAACCTTTTTGTGTTTTCTTTCTTTTAGGCAACCAAACATTGCATGCTGATCATTACTAGATTTTTTCTCTTAATTTAATGGCATTTGATGGTCGAGTGCTGAAGAAAGAATATGAAATTATCAGATTGATTGTTTCATACCTCAGATTGTGGGAGGGGCGCTATGTTACAAATCCTTGCTGTGTGGAAGATTAATGTACCTGTCAAACCACTCCATCTCATGTTGTGCTTAAAATTTATTTGTGATTGTTTGAGGTTGGTGATTATGTTGTATTTTGATTTTAATACAGCAAATCATAGCATCCAGACTGGCTCTGGGGCCCACCCAGCCTCCTATCTAATGGGTACCAAGGCTTTTCTATCATGGGTAAAGCTGGCTGCTTATTTCCATCTAGTGCCAAGTTCAGCAATGGTGGAACTATACCTCCACTCCACAGTATGTCTTCAAGGCATAGTCCTTAATTAATTAAGCACAGAGACAACTTTACACTACTTACATTAAATAATTCACTTTTTTTTTTTATAAATAATCATGTTTATATGATCAATTCTAAATAAAACCCACAGCCGTTTTACTGGTCACTAAATCAGAAAAGGCCGAGAAATACCAGAATGTTGGATAATCACAATTCAGCTGCGGTGACAGTCTTTAATACAATCTTATACAGGGATATGTCAACCTTGGAACTGCTGTCTCTGCACTTTGTGAAGATGTAATACAGAAACGTATGAATGAACCAGGCCTGTTTCAGTTTGGTTCCAAGGAACAGCATTATTTTCCAATGTGGGGTACTACAGAAATGTGTGAAGCACTTGCCTCTTGCCTCACTCGCCATCTTGCTCCAGATTTGCCAGTTCTTCCAGAAAATGTGAGTTCCATTGATAAAGTTACGATATACGAACTGTGAATGTTTACATTATATCTTATACTTCCTTTCTGTTTCAACATGAAATTACATCGAAATGGATGTCATCACTTTTCAGGTTTTGGTGGTAAATGGTGGAGTAGCAGCTATGGAAGTTTTAGCCTGTTGCTTGTTAGATCCAGGAGATGTTCTTCTAACTCCAAGTCCCTGTTATACAAGAATCATTGTCAATTTCAGTGAGAGATTTAAAGTCAATGTTGTGGATGTATTACTTAGGGATACAAATGAGGTAAGGCCTGGTTTTCAGAGGCTCCAGTGCTTAGGGTGGAACACAAAAGTTCCCATTGTGCTATCCAGGAAATGTTATGACTACTGTTTTGGCCTGAGAGTTGAGTGAAGCAGATGTACTTAAATGATTGATTATTGGGTTATTTAACAATGCAGTTTCAACTGCATAAGTTATATGCACGCCTTCAGGAGAATAAATTTTTCAGCTTGAGATGAGAAATTGAAAACATTCCTAGAATTGAGCTGATAAACAGAATTTTGTTTGAAGCCAAATTTTTCAATCTATTCGCAGTATTCACAACTGGTAATTCACAATGCTGATAGCTACTTAACGCTGTATAACCTATGTAGCTGCAAAGTATTGTTAAATAGCAAGTAATCACTCAAACCAACTACTTACTGAGGCTTCTAATTCAACTCCTTTTCACTCAAAATATTTTAATCAGCACTTTGTTTCACATACTTGTAAATTAATTAGATTCTTCTCTCAAAGTAAGAGACCACGTGTCACACCTATACAAAACAGCTGGCAAGAAACTGTGCATTCTGTACTTCAGCATTTTGAAAAGTAGATGGGATGAGTAAAAGTTTTTGAACTGCATTGTGACAAGCATTTAAGCATTTGTTCTCCTGATTTCAATATGAAACATATTTCTGCATTTTTTTACTACTGTAAATATCTGAATTTTAAGTGGTCTGTGAGCCATTGTCATATGAGATCTTTTGCCCTTCATTTTCCCATTAGTAATACTTGATTGTGCACAGTGGGTTGAAATTTCAGATATGAAATCTGTATTGCTGTAAAAAGTAAAGCTATCCCTGTTCCAGGCTGTGAAGGCCCATAGGGTTGTGAGATGTTGAGGGTCCCACATTATGTAGACAGTCGGCTCAAAGATGGCGGTAAGGTTGTCAGCCTTACACGCCGGCTGCACTTTACTCCCCAAGAAAATTATTTAATTAATTCCTGGTACTCATTTCTGTTAGAGGCTGGGTAAACCCCAGGGCCTAGTGCGGCTGGAAGGATTAGGTCAATTGAAAAAAATCCAATGACCTCCTCAGGACTTGAACCTGCGACCTTCCAGCTTGTATCATAGCCCCTCAACCAACTGCACTACCGATTGCCCCCCTATTGCTGTCCTGCTGCACTAAAATTGTACACATTTTTAGGTCTGATTTTTATATACCACATAATTTGAAGTTCTGTTCTATACATACACTCTTGAATTAATCAGACTTTTTTATAATAGTTATTAAAACCCAGAGGTAGATGGTGAGGCTTAGTTAATAATCATTCTATGTAAAAGTGGATACATCAAAGAAGGAAGAAGATATACAGACAGTAGTCAGAATAGTGTTTGTTCAAATTACTGGAAAGTATGATTTCTTAATGTGAAAGATGCAATGGAACTTTTGCAACATTTTATTTTTTACTGAAAAGTACAGTGATTTGTTGTTATTGCTTCTGAATTATCAGATCTCTGTTGGAGAAAGATCAGCCTTCGAGCTAAATGGTGATCTCTTAGAAGACACCATCATGGAGCAGAAAGCGACAGGGAGGGTGGTGAAAGCATTCTACCTTGTGAACCCCAATAATCCTCTAGGAGAAGTTTACAGCCCTCAGTTGGTGCTGCAACTAATGGAGGTGTGCCACAGGTGAGGATCAGTTTCATTGAACTTTCCAATTCTAGGCCTCACATTTATGATACTGAAACCTGTGAGATATGGAGATTGTCTCAAACCAGGATAAACTCTTGTTTCAACACACACACTGGAAATATGGGAGTTCTGGTGTTTTCTTTGCACAAAGTACATTCAATAATGCATTATGAGAGATCATGTCTGCCCATCCACATATTTAGTCTCTTGGTAGTGAGAGCCTATTTTAAGTTTTGTTAAGGGAATTAAATTTGTCGCATGTTAATTGAACATGTAATTGATTTTATATGAAAGATAAATTAGATGTTCATTTTATCATAAATAACTCATTTTACCAAATATTAGTCATCAAATGAGATAGAGATTTCTGTAATTTCTATAAATTTTATGAGTCTTATATGTTGTATATACTGAAATACAAAAAACAGCAACTGATATCTTGATACAGTGCTGTATTGTTGCTTCGAGTAGGTTTAAAACAATAGGATTTTTACAGTTTAAGAAAGACAGTCGTTATTTTTAATGAAAAATTTAGTTTTTAATATCATGCTCACCAGCTGTGAATGTCTGAATGAAATGATTCTCAATCTGAAATGAGTGCTTACTTGGATGCAACAATTTTGTGACTGAATAATTGTTCAGAAAACTTTCTTCATATCTATAGTATGGTTCCTCAACTATTCAACAATATGGCCATAAAATATGTAACTTCTTATTCCATATAATTTTCATATTGGTCAGATATGTTATATCAGAGTATAAAATCAATTAATGAAAGGAAGAAAGTACAGTAAACTCCCAGTTATCCAGTGTCTAAGCATCCAAAATTCTCAACTGGCAAAAATGTCAAACAAAATTTTTCATTCTTATGAAGTTACTTCAAAAACAAATTTGCACTGCACATTTGTTCATCTGGCACATTCTAGTTCTCCCAGATCAACAATCAGTGCTGTCCATTGCCCTCCCTTATGCAGGTGCGAATATAGTTAGAGTGACCATGCTTACAGCAGAGGCTAACTAAATTTGTGATCAGATTGTAGTATATTTGAAATCGTTTATCCCTCAATCAGCCTTGTCACCTAAGGAAGACTAAAGTGAAAAGATGTTGTTTTGATTTTGAAACACGAAATGGAATTATGTAAAAAACAGGAAAAGGTGAAAATTAGGTTTATAAATTCTTCTCATGCAACATCCTGATTCATGTAATCAGAATATACAGTTCCCTATACATTCCAGGTAACAGGGAGATTACTGTATTCTAATCTGCAGTACTTCTATCACTATGTTCCACGAAACCAACGTAAGCTGTTTCCTGAAGTAATCTTTGCTTTATTATTATATTCCTACAGATTTTGTTTCCTGACGAGAATTTTGTATTCTATTTAATTGACGCAAGTAAAGAGGTTCATCTAGAAGTAAACACAGAGAAAACTAAGTATATGTTTCTGTCTCATCACCAAAATGCAGGGCAAAATCTTGACATAAAGATAGGAAACAGATGTTTTGAAAATGTAGCACAGTTCAGATATTTGGGAACAACCATAACAGATTGAAACCTGATTCAGGAGGAAATTAAGAGGAGATTGAACTCCGGTAATGCTTGCTACCATTCAGTCCAGAACCTTTTGTCTTCTTGTCTGTTGTCCCAAAACATAAAAATTAGAATGTACAAAACTATAATTTTGCCTGTGGTTCTGTATGGGTGTGAAACTTGGTCTTTGACATGAAGGGAGGAACATAGACTGGGGGTGTTGGGGAGAATATTTTGACTGAAGAGAGATGAAGTGACAGGAGGTTGGAGAAAACTGCATAATGAGGAGCTTCATAACTTGTACTCTTCTCCAAGTATAATTAGAATGATCAAGTCAAGGAGGATGAAGTGGGCAGGTCATGTAACACAAATGAGGGAGATGAGGAATGTGTATAGGATAATGGTGGGAAAGCCAGAAGGAAAGAGACCACAGGGAAGACCAAGGAGCAGGTGGGTGGAAAATATTAGAATGGATCTTAGAGAGATAGGATGGGTTGGTATGGATTGGGTAGATCTGGCTCAGGATAGGGACCAGTGGAGGTCTCTTGTGAACATGATAATGAACCTTCGGGTTCCATAAAATGCTGGGAAATTCTTGAGTAGCTGCAGAATTGGCGGCTCCACCAGAAGGGCTCGGCTCCTTGAGTAAGTAAGTATGGAAAGTCTGACATTTTTCGAAATTCAGAACTCACTGTGAATGGCATCAACACTTCTTATGAATATCATTACAAATTATGCGGCCTCATTTTTATTTATGCATTTCCCAGGCATGGACTGCATTTTATCTCTGATGAAGCATATGCAATGTCAATTTATGAACCACAAACACCATTCCAGAGTGTGCTGAACCTGTCACCTCTTCCAGATCCACAGAAGACTCACGTAATTTGGTCCTTTAGTAAGGTATGTGACAGTACAATATCCTGTAGTGTATGTCCCTAATTGTATCCCTTCTGTGGGGTACCAAAGTTTATTTCAGAATTTAAATAAATTAACATTTAATTTATGTTATTTTGAGAGGTAATTGTTATAAGCACAACATTTATGAGCTAACTTGTAACACGCTGGAAACAGAACCTAAGTCCATCTCCTTCTTAGTCTTCCAAGTGACCATTTACCTGCCAAAGTTGTTTATGAATTCTTTAGCTCCTGCCATAGTAACAACACTGCTTATTTACTTACTTATGGAGCTGAGCCCTTCTGGAGGAGCCGTCAATTCTGCAGCTACTCAAGAATTTCCCAGCATTTTATGGAACCCGAAGGTTCATTACCGTGTTCACAAGAGCTCTCCACTGGTCCCTATCCTGAGCCAGATCAATCCAATCAATACCGTCCCATCCTATCTGTAGGATCCATTTTAATGTTGTCCACCCACCTACGCCTTGGTCTTCCCAGTGGTCTCTTTCCTTCTGGCTTTCCCACCGATATCCTATAGGCATTCCTCGTCTCCCCCATTCGCGCTACGTGGCCTTCCCACCTCATCCTCCTTGACTTGATCATTCTAATTATACTTGGAGAAGAGTACAAGTTATGAAGCTCCTCATTATGCAGTTTTCTCCAACCTCCTGTCACTTCATCTCTCTTCAGTCAAAATATTCTCCTCAACACC